CGGTTCTAAGGATAGGTAAGGGGATCTATCAATTTATTTTCTTCTTAATAATAATTAAATTGTCTCACTCATCCAAGAGGTGGCTTCTGCTTCTTTACGTGAATAACGGATTTTCTTTTGATTCAGTTGATTCACACTTTTTGCACAATTTTTCACTTTTTTTAGTTTATAACTCTAAATGATTGAAATCAACGGTTTCCTCAATAGATGCCTGAGTTATGTCATCTGCCGACTGCGCTAGTTATATTTTTATAACGTAGGTTTTATATAAAAAAAATATTTATTTCATTTCAAATACAATTGTTATATTATATTATAATACTTTATAATATTTAAATTATACAATATATATTATTGAATCTTTATATATGATATGATATGGTTACTGGTCGAATATTAATTATAGAAATGCGATTAAATATCAGAACGCATCCTATTTATGAGGCGGGTTCTTTTAGTTGTAGTAAGCTTAGATTACTGTATGTGCTGATTCAGTGGAAAAATGTATACACTGTTGCTGTATATAACTAATAACATATGAAACTAGTGGGGCGCATGGCATCGTGCCTTAAGGCAAATTGCTGGAACTTCCCAAACCAAAATTTTTTTTTTACTCTGAAAAAATTAGATTTTTGAGAGACTTTGCATTTTTGACAAAAACTCACTTTTTTTAAAAAAAAGACTTTTTGAAGAAAAATTCATTTTGAAATATTTTGGAAATTCTGAATTTTTTTTCAAAGCAATCGTACTGCTTTAACTGCATAGAGACGAAATATCGAAGCGCGTAAGCGCCGCGTCGCCGTCTAACGGATAAACACTGGTACGGAACCCATAGGAATGTAAACAAAATTTATACTTATTGTTAAAATCTCTATAAAATATCTGATAATTTGATGTGCATATATCTAATGATCATTTTTGACCGCCAAATGGCATTTTTTTTAACTTTTTTTACTATATCTCCGGAACCGCTAGACCTACATCCATGAAAATTTGATCAGTTGTTCATCTTGTTAATACAAGTAAAAAAACTCCGTTCTCTTAAAAACTGAGTTACCAATTTTGGCACTTTTTGCCCCATATCTTCGGAACGGCTAGACCTGCCTTTGCCAAAAACTAATCAGCACGTCTCCTTATCAATACGAATCGAATGTTTTTTGAATTATTCAAATCGCTTCATCCGTGTTCTTGAAATCGTCGACGAAAATTTGTATCCGAACACACACATATACACGCACACACACACACATACATCCATTTTTTCTAATTGTAAGGTACATATACCAAAATATTTTGAAACCTCTGAAACGTAAAGAAATATAAAAATTTTCATTTTCGATTTTTATGCGATTACTATAACTTACCCTACGGTAAGTTAACAAAAGAAAGTGAATACTATATCAATATTTTATACATGCTTTTATATATTTATATTTTTAACTGATTTTTAATATAATAATATTGCTTTGCTTTTGAAGTTAGAAATAAAAAATTATTAAAAAATGCTTCAATCTAATTAATACTTCATGTTAATTAAAGTTTGTCAACTTTAAACTATAATGTGGACAGTTAACTAGATGAAGAACTGATCAAATTTTCATAAAGGCTTCGGAGATCTAGTGAAAAAAGTAAAAAAAATGCCATCTGGCGGTCTAAAATGATCATTAGGCATATGCACATCAAATTATCAAATATTTTTAAGACATTTTAACAATAAGTATACATTTTGTTTACATTCCTATGGGTTCCGTACCAATGCTTATCCGTTAGACGGCGGCATATTTCAAAATACACTTTTACTCAAAAGGTCTTTTTTTTAAAAAAAAGTAAATTTTTGTCAAAAATTTATAGTTTCTCAAAAATCTAATTTTTCAGAGTAATTTTTTTTAAAAAATGTTAATCTTCAAAAAAAATTGGTACGGGAAGTTCCAGCAATTTGCCTTAAGGCACGATGCCATGCGCCCCACTAGTTTTCTTTGTGATTGTGATCAGGGCGATAGTGACGTCACCGGGTAAACGCGCGTTGCCGAATATAGTCGGGTACTCTCGATTGCTACGTTCTTAAGCATTTACTAAAATATTTATAATTATTTTTGTATAAATTTTGTATTTGGTAAAGCTATCTATAATTATTCAGTTGTAAATAAAATGAAAATTGAGTTGAATTCAATTTCATGGAGACAAGGTAGATATCGAAATGTAGAAATTTTTTGAATGTACAACTTCTTCTTAGCAAACTAATGATAAATTAAAGCGATAATTAATTAAGATATTTAATTTTTAAGATATTTGTTTTGGCTACTTCGTCAGTAGCATGTTTCTTGATCATATAAAAATACATATTTAAAGCCCATTAGCATAATTTAGAAAAACTCATGTTATTTTCACTTATGTGTTCATATACAAACACGAATCATAATCAATTGTAACCAAATTATCAAAATAACTGTGTTTTAAATGATAAAATTTTTCACAAAAGTGAAAGCTACAATTCAATGAATAATGTGTTTTTCAATGAAAGAAAGTCTGAATATGCAAAGAATTTAGTTCCAAAACATTGAAAATGAATATTCTGTTTCAACAGGTCTTATGGCTTTTGTTTAGACTTTTTAGATAAACACAAAGGCTATGGGCGCCATACAGAATCATTTTATAGGTCTATTTGATAAAAACCGATATACCAATTTTTAACTTTGTACCTCATCTTATGGCCGAGATATCATTGAAAATATGCCAAAGTGGCCACTTTTTTCAAACTCACTTTTTGGCGTAACCATAAAATATATCGAAAAAAATTTCACGTGATTCTACTCACATTGACTCAGACCACATTATGTAGAACAATCGATGCCAAAAAATCGTTTATTATTACCTGAAAAACACAAAATAATTTTTCAATTGATGGTTTCCGGTAGTGCACTTAGTTGGCACCAATACTCCGGTAAATAAACCGTAACATGGCGTTATTATGGCAACGCTATGTTACGCGGCTTTCTTCATATAAAATGGTAGCAAAAACTGTCAAAATGCTATGCATTTGGTATGCAGTCAGGCATTTTAGATATAAAACCTAACCTGTAAAACCCACAAATGTCAAAAATGTGATCATAACTGCATCTTTCTGATGTGCATTTATAACTAATGTGATCATAAATCTGGAACAGTCTCGGATTTCAACCTAGTGTCCCGAGATTTTCTAAAAGCATTAATTATCTCAAATTTAGAACTTTTGTTCTGTATTGTACCGGGTTCTCAAAAAGTCTAGGTTCAAATTGACTTTTCGAATGAAATATCTGAAAATGTATATACAACGAGTATGCTTCAAACATATAATCGAATAATAAGGTTTTAAAAGTAAGTAATTCTGATTAAAAAAAGTTTTTTTTAAAAAAAACTGTTTTTCATTGCATTCCTAAATAGTATTTGTTCTTTTGAATTATATTTAAGTTATGAAGCATGAAGAGCCACCCCGTCCCGGATTAGCCTAACCAAAAGTATCAAATATGGTAATTCCGTTTTTTTTCATGCAACGGAGCATCCGATTTGAATAATTCAAGCAGCATTTTATTTGTATTGATAATATAATAATCCTATCAAAGTTGTTTCGAAGATTTAATTAATAAAGTAAAAAAAATGCTATTTGGAGGTCAATAATGATTATTAGACATATGCTTTTCAATTTATCAGATATTTTATAGAAATTACACTAACAATTTGCATACGTTATACTACGAAGCGGTGCTTATGCGCTTCGATATTTCGTCTCTATGCAGCGAACGAAGCGCGATTGCATTAAAAAAAAGTTCAAAATTTTCAAACATTTTCGAAATATAAAAAGTTTTAAAATAAGTCATTTTTTTCAAAGATTTGAAAAATCTAAAAAATCTAATTTTCTCTAAGTTCCATGCATGCAACTAGTTTAATTTAGGGAATGCAATACCGATGCAAAATTTCAATACTGGTATTTCGGTAATTTTTCATTTTAAAACCGGAATACCGGTAAATTACCGGTATTTTTTTATCTTAAACGAACTTAACCAAAATTGAAAGTTACTAGTACAAATATAAAAAAATGTATATACAACTACAACTACATTCAACTAAACAATAAAAATAATAAAATAAAACAATAAGTTTATTTTTTTAAATAATAATTTAACAAAAGTATATCCAATTTAATTAATTCATTATCACTATCGAGTATATTGAGCACTTTTCACCAAAAACAAACTTATAAGTAAGAAAGACTAAAAACTCATAAAAGATCATACTACATTATTATAATAAACTGTATTGTCTATATCTGATGTGTTAAATTAGCATAATCTCTAATATTTTAAAAAAATAATTTTTTTACACTAATTTAAGATCGGATACTTTGTCGAGATAAATAATAAGCTACTATAATTGTGGAGTATTGTTATTTTAAACATTGTGATGCTTCTATAGTATTTTCAAACTTCGAAACATTTTCGAACAATAATATTTTATAATTGTAATAAGAAGCAAAAATATTTAGTAATTATCATAATTATTATGTATAGAGTTAGAAAAAAATAAAGATTACGCATGGGTAATCTGTATAATATAAAATATTTTGGCGCGAATATCACTTAAAAAACCGTTACATTTTTACAAAAGATGAAACATGCATCATTATCTATTAGTCCAATTCTATTTATTGTAACACGATATGAAGCCCTTAGTAAAGCAATAAATATTCAGTTTAATGACGAGTTGAGATAATATTTGATATTTGTTTATCTTATAGAATCACTTGAAGATATAGCTGTTTATGCGATTATGGAATTTAAAGATAAATTTGTTCTGAGAAATATAAACTTTAGTGCATTATGTATCAAATAGCGCTTATGTAAAAATACCGAAAATACCGGTATTTTTGGGATAAATACCGGTAAAAATACGCCGAAAAAATCGGGCGGTTTACCGGTAATTCGCTATACCGGTATACCGGTATTGCATTCCCTAGTTTGATTTACCTTGTCCGAATATTCCACAACATCGCGCATAGAACGTGGGTATCCCGACACCAAATATGTTTTTGCTGCAGGTGACATCTTCATTTCCAGCATCAGCACTTCCGTTACAGTTTTGCTCGATAATTGACCAAAGTCCTGCATATCTATAAACAATACAAGAGAATTGATTTAACCGTTTTTGGCATTTTACTGAATAAAACTTGTAAATTATCATATTTATACATTCATCTGGACTATGGTATTAATTAATTTACATCGTTGTTGATGCGTATAAGTTTAAAATACAATTCGCGCTTATAACAATCCTATATAGCAATGTATCTAAATTATGGTATCTTATCACCTTCCTATAAATATTTTTTTTATATATCTTCACATTTCAGAGAGTTTTGAACATTTTGTCACACCTTAGAAAAAATGTATGTATGTGTGTGAGTGTGTGAGTGTGCGTCGACGATTTTCTGAACACGAATCAACCGACTTGCAACATTCAAAATATATTCGATTCGCATTGATTGGGAGACGTGCTGGTTAGTTTTTGACAAAGGCAGGTCTAACCGTTTCGAAGATACGAGGTAATAAGTGCCAAAAATAGTAATTTAGTTTTTGGATAACGGAGCGTGCGATTTGAATGATTCAAAATCCATTTAACTTGTATTGACAAAAAGAAGAACTGATTAATTTTTTTGTACTTTCACAGGAGTTCAGTGGTTTAGGATAGAAACAAAGTAAATATTCGAGGAATATTAAATTTTTTCCAATATATTATTATAAATATTGTAAAATTGTCTACTATTTATAAGAATTATACAAAACTGAATTGCAATGTTAAAATTATTTATTTAAAGTATATAAGTGAGCTTTAGAACTTTAGCCAGAATTAAAATTAAAATCCGAATTATTTTCGATTTTTTGGAAAAAAAATTAAATATTAAAATAAAAAAAAGGAATTTCCAAAAGCAATTGTTTCGTCAAAACAAGCAGAAAGTTTTCTGAATCATTCAAATTGGACGCTTAGTTCTCTCAAAAACTGCTAGTTTTGCATATTTAGTTTTGTATCTCCGAAATGCCTGGGCCTGCTTTTGTTAAAAACTTCCACCACTTCCACCAGAACAATCACCACTTCTCCTCATCATTATGAATTAATTTCTTGGATCATTCAAATCGAATGCTTCGTTCTCTAAAAAAAAACGATTTTTATTTTCTGCACTCTTTGCTTCGTATCTCCGAACTGGACCTGCTTTAGCCAAAAATTAATCAGCACGTCTCCGTATCAATAGGAATCGAATATTTTTTTATCGCTTGATCTATGCGCCCAAAAAGGTAGACGAAAATTTACGGAAACACAAAACTTCTATAATCAATAGCATTTGCATTCAGGCTAAATGAATAGAATTTCATAATATTATGACATTGTATTGACTGTGGCATATATAATATTTATCTAATTATGTATGTATATTATCATCGTAATCCATTAAACTTTAGAAAACACGCAAACTAGATAGTAAAGCATTACACATAAAATAACATTAAAAATATATTTAATGTTTATCAAAATTACTTACCTGAGAAATCTTATTCAAGGAGTTTCATTCCGATACTCTTGCGAACAAGTATCATTATTATGAATTCATACGATATATATGTATATATACAAATATATATAATATATATATATATATATATATATATATATATACATATACTAGCAAACCCGACGAACTCCGTTTCGCCACCAGATGGTTTCGTGAGAAAGATGAAGAAATTTTTTGTTTGTTTTATATTTGAAAAGGAAATATTTGATTTTATTATGCAATAGTAATGAATTTATTTCGATTACAAATATGAAGTGTTTTTTAGTTGAACTTCTTGAAATTATCCGTTTCATTGAAGTGCTCTTTGGTAAACCACATTTTTTGTTTTTTGGTCTGACGTTAACACAAACAAAGCGGATGTTTTTTCAACTCGTGAACAGGCAACGTATAACTGCCCATGTGAAAAACAATGATTTTCTAAATAATCTATTTGAAATTTATCCCGCAAACACTAAGCGATTGGCCTTGCGACTTGTTAATCGTCATTGCGAACGCAAGGCGAACTGGAAATTGTAATCGTTTGAAGTCAAACGGAAAACCAGTCGGAATCATTGGTATGTCACCAAATCGCCAGCAATTTTTGATTGAATGGTGAAATTCAGTGCGTGTACATCATTATTCTTTGCGGCAAGAATTGCTCGTTGACTTAACCAAGCATAATTCTGATAATTCTCACTAATGTCATTACTCGAATTTTTAATTACGGGGCGTGAAGTTCCAGCAATTTGCATTAAGCGACGATGTCATGCACCACTAATTTTTTTAGCTTGCGGAGCCCGAGACCTTTCCAACGAATGCAATATTGTCGAAATCGGTTCGTGCGTTCTGGAGTTATATCGTCAGGAAGGAAACCCCGACTTATTTTTATATATATGTAGATATATATGGATATACTAGCTGACCCGAAGAAATATAAAAAACGTAGCAAATTATAAGCTTTCTATATTTTGCCAATATCTGGAAAATTTTTAGCAGCTCAACAAACAATCACAAAAGATACGATGCGCTATTTTCTTTCTTAACAACTAGATGTAATATAATTGCATTTTTGATTAGATATTTATTTACATGTATAACATAGCAACGCGTGATCGGATACAGATAGTACTGTATCTTTTATACTGAAATGGATTGAAAAGTTCTCATTGACAATTGCAGTTAGAAAACAATTTGTCTATTGAATCTCAACCATTTTTAATTTGTCAATATATCAGCTATTTTTTTTTAAAATGAGTTTCAAATTTATTCAAGATATTTACAGAGCTTGCCCGTAGGTGAGTGGCCCGGGTTCGATGCCGCATCGAACGTTGCTATGAAAAAAATTTACAACTGACTATATGCATCATGATTCTTTACAAATAATGCAATGTAATCGTCCAACAATCTAAAAATAAGAGCGTACTTCAATAACACAGGTTTAATTCGGTCCAACGTTGTTTCATAGTTGGAGTAAGACATCACGCACATTGTATTCAAATTATTAACTTCCCGTAGGGTAGTTATAGTAATGGGCCGAAAATAGAAAATAAAATATTTTGTATATCTCTACGTTTTGAAGGGTTCTGAACATTTTGGCATAGAAAAAATGGGATCAGATGTGTGTGTTTTGTATGTCCGCATTTTTTCTTACACGTTTTTGGGCGCACGGACCAACCGATTTGAATGGTTCAAAAAACATTCGATTCCAATTGATAGGCAGATGTGCTGATTAGGCAAAGGTAGATCCAGCTGCTACGAAGATACGGAGCAAAAGGTACAGAAAATAGAAATCAAGTTTTTGAGAGAACGGAACACCCGATTTGATTAGTTTTTGGCAGAGGCAGGTCCAGCCGTTTCGAATATACGGTAAATACGCTAAATGTACAAAAAATGACTGTTTTGAGAGAACTAAGCATCCGATTTGAATGATTCAAAAAAACTTTCTGCTTGTGTTGGCAAAACAATTGAATTTGGAAAAAAAACATTTTCAAAACAATTTTTTTTTTTTTGTATATCGATAATAGTTCAGATTTTAATTTTAATTCTGTCTAAAGTTCTATAGCTCACTTATACACTTCAAATAAATAATTTTAACTTTGCAATTCAGTTTATATAATTCATATAAATATTAGACAATGTTACAGTATTTATTTATAATAATCTATTTGAAAACATTTAATATTCCTCGAACATTTCGTTACGCTACGGGAATTTCCAGCCATTTGCTTTAAGGCCCGATGCCACACACCACTAGATGAGAACTTTTATTTATACTAGACCTTAATACAATAAATTTTGTTACCGAAAGAGAAGTTTATGTTTTCATTAAAAATTCCGATTTGCTAATTTTATGTTTTCTCGACGTTTCAAGCCATTCTGAATCAAATGAGACCAAATTTGGAAAAAGTATGTATGTGTGTGTGTGTGTATGAACAGATTTCTTGCAGTAAATCGACGTTTTCTCAAAAACGGCTGGACTAATTTCAAAAATTTAAAAGCCATTCGATGTATCTCGATGAGGACTATTGTTTGTCAGTTCTGCGCTATTATCGGCCGAACCGTTTCTTTGGAAATCGCAGAAAAGTGAAATAAAATTCGTTGACATTTTAGCCCGCAATTCTGAATAGATTTTGAAAATTCAAAAACTGTTCGAAAGATATTGGTTCGGAATCGACCTGATTAGTTTTTGATAAAAATCAGCCGGGTCGTTTCCTTGTAATAAAGTGTTAAAAAAAAATTTTCGATGATTTTTGCATTTTTTTTTGCGGTAGATATCATAGTCTTATAGATCATACTAAAATATTACGGTCCTACGACAAGTCGTTTAAATTTTAAAATTCGTCAAAGTTTGCAAATTTTTTTTTTTTTTTTTTTTTTTTTTAATTTTTATTTTCAATAGCAATCAGAATACATAACTATTCTATGAGCTATTTGGCTTATGTCATTCACTCACACACATACACACACATACACACACACTTGCAAACACACATATAAAATTATCGGATCAATATTACAATCATATTCAGAGAATCACTTCAATAAATGATTCAATTATTCTGTTTATATAAGGTTGTGGTAGTTCTATGGTTCCTCCATATTATCCTCGGGCAGCTTCTTCTTCAGTCTTCTTGAAGTTGATGTCTCAAGAAGCTGAGTGACTATATGGTTTGAATGATGTTGTAGTTTTTGAAAGTGTTTTATGCTGTTGATTTGTATTATTTTGTTTATAAAATCAATATGAAAATCGTCGTGTAAAGTTTTGTTACTAACAAACCACGGAGCATCAGTAATCTGCCTCAATATTTTTGATTGGGCACGTTGCATTAACGCTATATTGGATTTGCTTGCACAGCTCCACAATTCAATGCCATAAGTCCATATGGGTTTTATTATTGCCTTGTAAATTAGAAGTTTATTGTCAATGGATAAAATTGACTTGCGTCCCAGTAGCCAGTATAGTTCAGCGATTCTAATTTTTATAGTATTCAATTTGGCGCGAATATGGTCCTTCCACGTGAGCCTGCGATCTAAATGCATACCTAAGTAGTATCGCTTTTTGGCGT